TCTGGGCGTGAATGTTTTTGCAGATTCAGGCTCCAAAGAAAAGAAAAGCAGAGAAAACAAACAATGGTGTTTTTAAACAATGAATGTTGTTTTCCTCTAACCATAAGTGAGTTTTAAAACTTGACAAATCCATTCAGCTTTCAAAGCATTCCATATTCCCCACCCACAAGCAAATGCCAGAAGGTGCCAGTTTGAGCCAACTCTGAGCTCAGGAATGATTTCTAAATAATGGATCAGATTTCTTGAATGTCCACATGCCACAGATGGATACTTACCATCATCCTAATTGGTCTGATGAAAACTGCTTAGCCGCTTATCAAGCTATTAATTCAAAAAGAACCTTTCAGCAAGAAATGAGATAGTGAGGCACAAACGTAGCAACAGCAAATGACAGGATATTACTACTTTGAAAAGATTTAAAATTCTTAAGGTCTTTGAAATTTTAGAGCTACATTGTACATAGGCTCAATTTTAGTTTTTTTTTTTTAACATTTATTTTGGAGAAACAGAGAGAGACAGAACTTGAGCAGGGGAGGAGCAGAGAGAGAGGGAGACAGAATCCAAAGCAGGTTACAGGCTCTGAGCCATCAGCACAGAGCCCAATGCTGGGCTCAAACTCATGAATGATGCGATCACGACCCAAGCCAAGGTCTGATGCTTAACCAACTGAGCCACCTGGGCGCCCCAGCATAGGGTGAATTTTAATGAAGGTCTTTCTGGGGAAAAAAACATGTTTCTGATTATATAGAGAGCAGTTTCCTTAATTTGCAGGGACAGATTCTTTCAGAGAGGACAAAGAAAAAATCATATTTAATATACTCATTATTTTATTTAGCTAACATTTTTTGGGAAGCATGCCCTGTGCCTGATGCTGTGCTATGCGTTGAGATACAAAAATGAAAAAGATAGTTTTTGTTCTCTAGCCAAGCCATGGAGACAGAGAAGCAAAGGAATAGTGTAATAGATCCAACAAAAGAGAATGCATTAGCAAGTAAGAAGTGAGGTTAGAGTTGAATAGAAAGTGTGTTGCAAAAATTTTGGATTTGATTTTGTAGATGATGCAGAGTTGTTAAACAGCAGTGACCATGAGTTTGTATAAAGATCATGCTGTTATTAATGTGAAGAAAGGGTTGAGGCGGGGAGACATCCAGGGCAGGATGAGTTCTACCTTTTTTTTTTTTTATTAGATTTTGATAAGTGTTTACACCTATTTAACTATCACCTCAATCAAGATAGTGAACATTTTCATCACTCCCAAATGTTCCCTTGAGCCCTCTGCAGTAAATACCATCCACTCTTGGTCCAAGTCACAATAGATTAGTTTCTCCTGTTGTTGAGGTTCACGTTAATGGAATTATACAATAAGTACTCTCAGGCTGGGACTAGGGAGGTCCTAAGATGCAAACTGGAACAGACATTCACTCTTAGTTTCACAGTAGCATAAACCCTACAATGCACCCTGTACCATGCACTTTTGTATGTTTTTGCGATTTTGTTATGTACTTCAGCAGTTCATTCCTTTTTACTCCAGCGTATTTATTCTATATTAAAAATGTATTATAATCCATTTATCCATTCCTGTACTGATGGGCATCTGGGCTGTTTCCATTTTGGTACTTTTATGAATAGCTTCTATGAACAGTTACGTGCAAGTATTTTTGTGGATGTGTTTTCATTTCTCTTGGGGAAATATTTAGGAGTGAAATTCTTCGCTTATGTGGCAAGTATGTACTGAACTTCACAGGACTGCTCAAAAATAGTCAAAAGTGGTTTTAAAACTTTATATGAGAATTTCAGTTGCTCTATAGTCTAATAATTATCAACCTTTAGTTGATAAAAGCTAGCTTTAATTTTCATTCCCTGATGATTAATATTGGGCATGATTATAGGTAATGATTGGCCATTCATGTATTAGTGTGAAATATCTGTTTAAATCTTTTGGCCATTAAAAAAATTGGGTTGACTTCTTAATAATGAAAAGTAGTTTTCTTTTTATGTTCCGGCTACAAGATCTATGTCAGATATATGCATTGTATAGATGTCCCCCAACATAGCTTGTCTGAGTTCCACTATTCATAAAAACCATTCCATATTCTGATACCTCCCTTTCTGCTTTCCAATCCATTTCCCCTTGTCCCCTGAACACACACATTTTAAAGATCATCTAATCTTTTATTACAAGTGCTAGTTTCCAAATACTGATTCCGTTGTGGTCAGAGAACATACTTTGTATGACTTGAATCCTTTTAGCTTATTTTGAGACTTGTTTAACGGCGCAGAATATGGTTTATCTTGGTATTCCATGTGCTCTTGAAAATAATGTATAATCTACTGTTGTTGAGTACAGCTGTGTTCTATAAATGTCACATTAAGTTGGTTGACAGTCTTATTCAAGTCTTTATATCCTTATTTGGATATAGATTTTTCTCTAAAGTCTTTCATTAAAATTGAATCTATGCACAGTCTCGTTCTAAAATGTCTTCTTGTTCCATCAAACATTGAGAAAGGACTCTTTAAATCTCTAGCTATAACTGTAGATTTGTTTACTTCTCCTTACAGTTCTTGCTTTGTATATTTTGAAGCTGTTACTAGGTAAACAAGTCCTAAGGGTTGTTATGTCCTCTTGCTGAACTGACTCCTTTAGCGTTACAAAATATTCTTTCTCTCTGGTAATATTCTTTGCTCTAAAATATGCTTCTCTGATACTAATTACAGTCACTCCTGCTTTCTTTTGATTAGTATTGGTATGGTGTATCTTTTTCAATCCTTTTACTTTTAATCTGTCCTTTATTTTTAAGATGTGTCTTTTTGGGGGGCTCGTGGGGGGCTCAGGGAGTTGAGTGACTGACTTTGGCTCAGGTCATAATCTCATGGTCTGTGGGTTCAAGCCCCGTATTGGGCTCTGTGCTGACAGCTCAGAGCCTGGAGCCTGCTGCAGATTCTGTGTCTTCCTCTCTCTCTGCCCCTCTGCCACTCATGCTGTCTCTCTCTCTCTCTCAGAAGTAACATTAAAAAAAAAAAGATGGGTTTTGTTGGTAGCATACAGTTGGGTCTTGTTTTTTTTATCCAACTGACACTTTCTACTTTTTAACTTATAATATTTATACTTAAATCTCTTTAAAAGATAATTAAGTAAAAATAGTAACAATAAAGCTTGGAGCTTATAGCATATGTAGAAGTAAAATGTGAGGCCACAATAGCACCAAAGGGGAGAAGGGAGAAATGGAATTACACTATTGTAAAGTTCTTAAACTATAGGTTGAGTAGTATGTTACTTGAATACAGACTGAGAAGTCAAAAAAATATATATGCTATATTATAGATCTTTATATACATCCATGTATAATTATGTATATATAGGTTAGTATATTACACTAGCAATCCCTGAAAAGCAAAGTTACAATAAGCCAACAAGAGAAAAAAATGGAATCATAAAAAATACTTAACACAAAAGAAAACAGAAAAAGAAAAAAAAGAACAAATGCAACAAAAAACAAGATGACAGATTTAACCTAAACCATATAAAAAATCACATTAAATATAAATGTTCTAAAACATGATTAGGTAATTAAAAGGTGGAGGTTTTCAGATTGGACAAAAAAACAGGTATGAGCTCTGGTCAGGTACTGACCTAAGCACTTTAGATAGTCTCATTAAATCCTCTTTTAATAATCACGAGGTATCATCATGGACTCAATTTCAAATATTTTTAAAAAAGTGAGCCTCAGAGAGGTTAAGTAATTTCTCCAAGCAACCCAGCAAGTAATCACTCTCAGGCACTGCAGAGGGCTAGGATGCCCATAGTACTTGCTTCCTTCCCTGCCCTTCATTTCGACAACACTGAGTACCTACTACATGGAGGAAGTGCATTAGGTGCTGTGCTGCAGGGCAACCTGTACTGTTGAGGATGAAATCCAAATTAACCAGCTGATGACCATGGGCTGCAATTCTACTTAAGATCTGGTTTCCTCATTTGTAAAGTGGAAATAATAACAGGTGCCTTATAGTGTTGTGATGATACACTGAGAAAGTCCAACGGGCAGGGCGTATTAACTGGGGGTGGTTCCGGTACTTTAAGCCATACCCTGCAGATCACAGGAGAAACATCAATTGTACAATTCCACTTCAAAACCAAAACGTGCTTGCTAAAAGTGACCATCACTACCCTCCTGTTCAACCTGCAGCATTACAGAAATAGACCACAGGAGTCACTGTCTCATTTTTACTTTACAGCATTCTATGAATGCTTGATGATTCTTCTTTGAGAATCTTAGCGTGCAATGAATCAGCCTTCTTTTAAAGAAACCTTTCAACTCAACTATTTTATTTATGAAATCCTTTTTTTCCCCATGAGTAAAAATGTCAATCTTAGGGGGGCCTGAGTGGTTCAGCCGGTTAAACATGTGACTTGGGCTCAGTTCAGATCTCACAGTTCATGGGTTCAAGCTCCGTGTCGGGCTCTGTGCTGACAGCTAGCTCAAAGCCTGGAGCCTGTTTCAGATTCTGTGTCTCCCTCTCTCTCTGACCCTCCCCTGCTAATGCTGTCTCTCTCTCTCTCTTTCTCTCTCAGAAATAAATAAAATACTAAAAAAAAAAAAAAAAAGAATTTAAAAAAATGTCAATCTTATTTGCTTTCCAGATTACAAGGTTTAGATTCCTTGTGTTTTAGGACACCTGGAAGAAATAACTTCAGCTTTAAAAAATTTTTTTTAAATTTAAAAATTAAAAAAAAAATGTACTCAAGCATTACTTTACATTTGAAATACTAATACACAACTTTAAAAATCAAAATTTAATCCTGGGAGTTAAGAAGAAAGTTAAACAAAAAAACAACATAAGATTCCAGCATTTTATAGAACCTTCAAATATCTTTTCTTTCAAAAGTGAAAACAATTAAAAAAACAATTTAGATTTAATACAGAATGTCACCTGAACAGGAAACCAATCAGTCTTTCATTGTCATAATACCGCTTTTCTGAACAAATAAATGTTGGACACCATATTTCAAAGACAGTTTATTCAAAGTTCTCCATCTAGGAGAAAAGAGCTATAACAATGTTTACACATGCTTTAATAACTTACTTCACTGTACAACTTGCATTCTATATAACAATACAATAAACCAGCAAAAGAAAATAATTGGTCAGCACTCTTTAATAATCAATTATATAAGAAGCACTGAGTAAGGGGTACAATAAGGTGGTATTCTTTCACGAGTGCACCACAGAGCACCAGTCATCTTGTTCCATTTGGGTCTAAAAATCAAGATGTCTACACCTTTCTTATTAGTGATGTGAAAGGCAATTAGGACGTTCCAGAACAGAACATGTTGCTTTTGGTTCAATTTGGTGAGCAACGGTAGAGGGGCTCTGTCACTTTTATCCCTTTCTTATAAGTATTTTTCCCTTTTGTGTAACTTCCACAGTTTTAAATAAAAATAATTTTTATGCTTGTGTATACTATTATGTCAAAACTGTTCTAGCACAGAATTATATTAATCAGTTATTTTACAGCTAGCACAATGGTCCAAACACATTAAGGAAACAAAAGAAATTGACCACTTAGTTCTGCCAAAGTAGCACCTAGTAAAATAGCACATCAGTAAAGTTTCTCCTGCTTTCCTCACATGATGCAGAGGGACAGAGACATGGCAACAACCTCAAAAATAAGGGCAGAAATTTGAGAAGGAAAAGGACCAGTTATTGTTCTCTGTTCCTGAAAAAGGATCTTACTAGTTTAGTCTCCATTACATTTCATAATCTTGAAGTTACAATTGCCAAATCAGGGTAAGACTATGCAGGAGGAAAACAAGATAAAAATGACTGACTAGTGTAATTTGAATTTCTTCCAAGTAATTATATTTTCCAAGGAAAAAAAAAGGCACAGGAGGTACACATCTCAATTTGGCTCAAAAATAATAAAAATTAATTTAAATAGTTGGCATAACTACTAAAACATAAAACCCAATTTCCTCTATTGTCTTTGACAGAGCTCAACACACACACACATACACACACACACACACACACAAATACCCTGATTGGTTTGCCATAATTGGGACTACACATACTGTGTGACGTTACCACACAGACTGAACCCTAAGGACCACCACGTCTACAAAGTAGGATCTAGTAATTAATTTGAATTAAACATCTGCTTGATCAATACATTCTTTCAAAAACTTAACCTATGTTCCAAATAACTTCCTTTCATGGAACTGAAATGATTCAGATGCTCTAATTTTCAGCTGATTATAAAAGTATTACAGCAATCTTACATACCAAGAAACACCAAGAGATGAAAATTCACCTAGTATTATATCTGTGAAAACTAACTCAGATTTCACTTTGATACATGTAAACCATAAACTGTTAAGTTTCAAAAACAGTAGTTGTGGTCAAGTTCATATCCTATTATTATATCTTTAAAAGATAACAGGAACATTACTCTAATTGTAAACATAAGTCTGTACCCCAAGACAGCACACCTAAGAAAAGATGCATCCATTGTAATGATGTACCGGAAGTCCCGACAGACCTGTAACAACTGTAGTGTAACTAACTTTAACTACATTGCCAAGTAGGAGTCTGGGACATGACCCAAGGGAATGATGTTTCCCACACCACTGAGCTACTTCAGCAGCAATCATGATGGTGACAAAATACATTTAACAAGTTACACATTTAAAAAGTCATTAGAACATCTCGTTCTTGTACACTAGTATAGAAAGGTCTTCCAAAGATAAATGAGTGTAGGCCTGGTTTAATTTTCTCAGCTAGAGCCATTATTATGTTAAGGTCGCCCTCTGCTGTTAAATCAAGATCTATCTTCAGGTTCCGAAGGGACTTAAAGGGCTTTTTCCCCTTCTGCCTATAAATAATGAAGAAAAAAATTTTTTTACATATAAATACATAAATATATATAGAAAACATCCAAAAGGAACAAAACAAAGCATAATGCACAAAGGTTTTTATTCCATATGGTTTTACTTACGTATCATCTTCTATATATTTTATTAGCGTCAAGGCTTTTCTGTGAAGGACAAGTAGAAACTGCGCCAGGAAAGTACTCCTCAGAGATAAACCAGGCTTCAAATGAAAAACCTACAGGAAAATGAAGAATTTCCATAAATAATTTGCTCCAATTTTTCTTATACACCATATCTCTATCACAGTGTTGACAATGTCTGGCAGCTAACACACATTAGAGCAGCTCTCTACAGCCATTCCCTGTGATGCCCCTAACAGACCGGAAGTACTAAATCCAGAGGCCATTACGTTTTTCTGAAGTTTTCTATTTTATCTTTGAAAATGGACTCAAATTTTACATTCTACCCCAGAATATATCTCTGTTTACTTTATTAAGAATCATGATGTAATTTGCTTCCAGTTGTGTTACTTAACTTTTTCTGCCCATATCTCCATATAAAATTCAATCTCTCAGAAGTTGAGCCATGCTTATAGACTATGGTTTTAAGATTTTCTTCTCTCTCTACTCATGGGGTGTTGAGGGTACATGTGTAGTCATAAAATGATTTTATACAGCTTAAGAAGCATGGGATTAATTACGTGACTACAAATTATCCTTGAACTTTGTAGTATGTCACAGACCACACAGACCTGGTTCGAAAATTGTGAGTTAACTTAAGGATCTAATTATTTCAAAGCTAGTTCTATGACCTTGTTTCCTGGCCTAATCTCCAGAATGATATTATGACAAAGCTCTGTTATGTTAAGAAATAAATCCCATGTAATCTGTAATTTTCTTCATATGTTAATTAAGCAGATTATTTTTTAAAAGAAAAGACAAAAGATGTTATTATTTCAGTAGAAGTATGCTAAGTTTTACAGACATTTTGGCCCCATTAAGGCAAATAAAAACCACCCTTCCCTCCCTGAAAGAAAACACCTTGAGTTATATGTTAGTGGTTGGAATTAAAACATTTATTATTTGACCTGGGGAATACTGCATCTTTAATTGTTAATATATAGCCTATGCCCATTAGCCATTCAAAAGAAAAATCATTTTCACTTTAGAAAAACCTGAGACACTATAAAAAGACAGTGACTTAATTCTACAATGATATGTATATAGCACAGGCAACGTAGTATATATTAAAAAAGATAATACATCCTACTGTTCATTTTCACAGTCTTGGATTTAACATTTACCTGATCCAGGAAGGCTTTTACCAGAGTGTCTCTGTGTAAGACATCTTGAAAAATATTCCTACAAAGAAAACAGTCCAAATGTTGAAATGGCTATACAACATTACTTTCCAAAATTCCTTACTCTAATCAATAAATTCCACTTCTTAGAAATGGAATATTATATATAAACATATTTATAAAAATCAGAGGTGTGTGTTTGGAGATATAAAATATATATTCGTTTTAACTCAGGGATACACTTGTATATTACTGGAGTTTGTCAAGCCAGTATGTAATTATTTTTCTCCTAAAGATATAAGCAGTCCCAAGAAAGACATGTAAGTACCTATCAATCTATTTTTGTACCCTTACCTTATAAATAAAAATTGAGAGCCTCAGAGAATTAATAAATATGATTACCAATTCTTGCCATGTCAAAAAAAAATAAAAGCAACAAAAATAAAATGTATCACTAAGATCAAAACCCAAAATAAAATAAAAGGTTAACTTTATGTTTATAATAACTTGTAATACACTATTCAGGAAGAAAAAGGTGAAAGGGTGAATGCTTAAAAACATTCAAATGGGATTAAGGAACATCTTGACCACTGAGTTGCATCAACAAACCTATCATCAGGCAAGTACTATGAACCAATTACCCAGGACAGTATCAGCTACTTGGTAATAAGTAAGAAACAAAAACATTAATGAACACTTCAGATAATATATATCTAACTCACCATAAGGTAAGCAATTTTTAACTGAAATAGTAGGGATCATCACTGAACTGATAAGACTGGCCAAGAGGTGTGTGTGCATAGATAAATAGGAAAGTACCTAAAATTTCCTAGATTAGGAGATGGGTATACCAACAAATTACAGAAGAATGAAATTCAGAAGGAAATCTAAAAAAAAAAAAAAAATCAGCATTTCCTGATTACTGGCTGTCTAACTGGTGGCCAATTTAGTAGTAACAGCACCCCTTTTTCTGGGTCTGGAGAGAGAATAAGCCTAAATTATTTAAGCCTAGTGTTCTGAATATACTTGTTTCATGGACTGTCTCAGTCTTAAGTAAATCAGATGAAGCAAATGTTAAAAAAGAATTATTCCCAGTGACTGATTTTTCATGTAGTGGCAGTGAGTGGTATTAGTTTTAAAATTAAAAATATCTTATGTGGAAACTAATTTGACAATAAACTATTTGTATAAAAAAAAATAAAATTAAAAATATCTTAAAATTAAATAATATTGCTTAAAGAAAACTAAAAAGTACAATATACCTATAATTATAAAAGAATACACAATCTAATGATAGAGAAAGTATCATTTTTGGCTCATTTTATGCTCAGAATATTTACTCAGAATTGTCAACAAATTTTAAAAATTCATGACTTTTTTTTTATCTTAAGACTAGATGGCTAATCAGTGAGGCAATCAAATATAAGTGACTAAACTGAGTAAGAAAAGTTAAAAGTATACACATACTTTCTCTAAAAACATAAAAATACTACATGGTAAATCCATTCTAAAATTCACTAAATTCCACAAAAAAGGAGTTCTGAGGTAACCAAAGAAATAAAGTGGAAAAAATACTAAACACTTTAGTTAGGAAGAAAATGCCTGAAAGCACAAATTAATTTTGTGAACTACTATACATGTACCAAAATTCCCAATACTTGAAAACATGGTCATCACCTGGAATTCCGATTTTGACCAATTTCTTTTCTTTCTAAAGTTTATTTATTTTGAAAGAGAGTGTGAGCTGGGGTGAGGCAGAGAGGGAGGTAGAGAGAAAGAGAGAGAGAAGGAGAGAATCCCAAGCAGACTCTGTGCTGTCAGTGCAGAGCGAGTCAGGGCTCAATCCCACAAACCGTTGAGATCATGACCTGAGCCTAAATCAAGAGTCGGCGGCTTAACCGATTGAACCACGCAGGTGCCCCAGTTAGTCACTATTAGCCTTTGCACCTATTACTGTGCCTAGGGCCTCAATATATATTTGTTAAATGAATACTTAAACATTTACTTTTAAGGACTAATCTAATCTCTCTATGCAAAACATAGTAAGATTTAGAAAAACAGACATTTAAGAAAAAAAGTCATGATTAATCAAATTATTTCTTCAAGCATAATTCTCTTAGTAATAGTTCTTTCAAACACAGACTTGTTTTGCTTCTACTCACAGAAGATACTATTGCATGATACCGTTTAACAACAATACATTACATACAAATCAGGAGTGAAGCTTTCATCTGTATAGATGATCGTATCCTGAGCCATGTCTTCTTCTGAAGTGGCCCTCCAGAATGCTGTCAGCTCAGATCTCATGTATCTACGCTGATTGTAAATGTGCTCGTGACATGGTGGCATCTGCTTGACAGTGTTGACGTCCACATCTATGTGTGTGGTGGGATAGGGAGCGTACATGACTTGACGGAACGGGAGCACAAAGCTTCCAGTTGAATCCTGTCATAATGAAAAGAAAGTTTAATGTCTTATATGCCAAAAGACATGAAGAATTATTTTTTAATAAGAAAAACAGGCTTACACAAATCCATCTCTAGAAGTTTATCCTAGGAAATTAGGCATGATTGTATACAAAGTTTTAGTGATGTGTGCACTAACGCACTGGCTTAAATAGTTAAAACACTAGAAAATAAGTAAGCTTCCAAAGAGAACTGAGTAAATAAAAATGGCTTATTTTTAGCTGCTAAAAATGAATTTGTAGAACAAATGAAGTTATCAATTTGTGTTGACACAGAAAGATGTTCACAATGTATTATGGAAAAAGGAGGTTGAAATAAGTGGGGATAGGGGCAGAAAACTATGTAAAAAGATACATACAGAAGAAAAAAAGACCACAAAGATAGATGCCAAATATTAATGGTGGTTATTCATTAGATTATGAGATTACGAGTAAACTTTTATTTCTTTCTTGATTATTCCTCATGTCCTTTTAAATCCCAATGAATATATATATATATTTTTGTAAGTAAAAAAATGTGCTTCTTTCCAAGTATTGTCAGTTGGGTAGTCAACTGCTATGTGACAAGTATCTACTGTGTATGAAGCATTGTAGTATATATTACAAATACAATATAAAAGTTATTTTAAATTTTTCACTCATAATGCTGTAATAAACACTTTTTTTTTTTTAATGTTTTATTTATTTCTGAGAGTGAGAGAGAGACAGGCTGCGTGAATGGGGAGGGTCAGAAGGAGACACAGAATCCGAAGCAGGCTCCAGGCTCTGAGCTAGCCGTTGGCACAGAGCGACGTGGGGCTTGAACCACCAACTGTGAGATCATGACCTGAGCCGAAGTCGGACGCTTAACCAACTGAGCTACCCAGGTGCCCCTGTAATAAACACTTTCATAAGTAAATCTTTCTCCTTATATAATTGCTTCCCTAGGATGGATTTCTAGAAGCATAAATAGTAAATTAAGTCTCTGAACATCTGTATTTATCTTTTATTTTAGAGAGACAGAGAGAGGGAGAACGTATGTACGCATGCATGCACATGAATGGGGAGCAGCAGAGGTAAAGACAGAGAGAATCTTAAGCAGGATCCATGCTCAGTGTGGAACTGGATACAGGGCTTCATCCCACAACCCTGGGATCCTGACCTAAGTTGAAATCAAGAGTCACACACTCAAATGACTAAGCCAACCAGGCATCCCAATCTTTTTTTTTTTACAAATAGTTTATTGTCAAATTAGTTTCCACATAACACTCAGTGCTCATCCCAAGTGCTCTCCTCCATGCCCATCCCCCCCTTCCCCCGACATCCATCAGTCCTCAGTTTTTGTCAGCATTCAAGAGTCTCTCATGGTTTGCCTCTCTCCCTTTCCCCCACCATTTCACCCCTTCTTCTCCCTCTTGTTCCTCTTTTAAGTTCCTCCTAATCCTCCTATATGTGCATACATATGATATTTGTCCTTCTCTGCCTGACTTATTTCGCTCAGCATAACACCCTCAAGGTCCATCCATGTTGCTACATATGGCCAGATTTCTTGTTTCTCATTGCCATGTAGTATTCCATGGTATAGATAAACCACATCTTCTTGATCTATTTGTCCGTTGATGGACACTTAGGCTCTTTCCATGTTTTTGCTATTGTTGAGAGTGCTGCTATGAACATTGGGGTACATGTGCTCCTATGCTTCAGCATTTCTGTATCCCTTGGGTAAATTCCTAGCAGTGCTATTGCTGGGTCATAGGGGAGTTCTATTGTTAGTTTCCTGAGGAATCTCCACACTGTTTTCCAGAGGGGTTGTACCAGTTTACATTCCCACCAACAGTGTAGGAGGGCAGCCACCCCAATCTTTGAACATCTTTAAGGCTCTTGACAAATAATGTTCCAGCATTTCTGAAAGGCTTAACAATTTATACTTATATGGAAAACTCTTAAGTATTTTTCATTAGATTATAGTTTCAAGCTTTCCTCATCACATCTGGTATAGGTCCCTTTTAGGGATAAAAGTACATAATTAAATGAGAAGGTACTGAGAAAAAAAGTACTAAGTGCCTTATTATGCCTTTGATAAAAAGAAGTTCTAATTTTCAGATCTGTACAATTCAAATTGGAAATAAGTTTCCCTTAAGTATTTTCTGTATTATTCTGAGCTCACAGCATGCACACTATTAAAAATGCAAAAGCTGAATATGATTTTTATTTGCCAAACTTTTAATAAGTTTTGTTTCATTTTGCTATGTATAGATCCTCAAGAAAGCATTCACTATGAGAATCACATAACCATTAGGCAATCTACCTTCTTACATCTTCTGACTGTAATTGAAACATCAATGATAGATTCAATAAAGTAACTGTCTTCCCTGTAATTATTGAAAATAATTGCTAATTTACATTTATCTGCCTTGCTCCTTGAAAAGCGGACTCAAATAGTCAGAGATAGACAAGTACCATATGATTTCACCCATCTGTGGAATTTAAGAAACAAAACAAGTTAACAAAAAAAAATCCAGACAAACCAAAAAACAGATTCTTAACTATAGAGAACAAACTGATGGTTATTGGAGGGGGGGTGGGAGGATGGGTAAAATAGGTGATGGGGATTAAGAGTACATTTACCATGATAAAACACTGAATGTAAAGAATTACTGGAACACTATACTGTATAACTAAAATGAGTATAATGCTGTATGGTAACTATACTGGAATTAAAAAGAAAAATAAATAAAAGAAAAATGTAAAATAATTTAAAACTATATACATGTGAATACATATATACATATTGTTCAAATCCTATATACAATGCTGAAGACAGGAAGCAGCTTTAAATTTTTTTAAATAAATGAATACAATACATAAACAAAAATGCTAACACAAAAATTCAAATCCTTTTCAGAAAAAAAGTACCTATTTTAGATGTGCAATCTGATTCAGCCACACATTTTTTTTAATGTTTTATTTACTTTTGAGAGAGAGAGAGAGAGAGAGAGCAAGTACTGAAGGGGAGGAGAGAAAGGGAGACACAGAATCTGAAGCAGGCTCCTGGCTCTGAGCTGTCAGCACAGAGCCCAATGAGGGGCTCAAACTCACGAACCATGTGATCATGACTAGAGCGAAAGTTAGATGTTTAACCAACTGAGCCACCCATGCACCCCAGATTCAAATAATCAACAAATAATCCTGGGGCTAGACAGGCAGCTATAGGAAACCAAACAGACACACACACGCAAAGATATTCTAAGCTGTTTCACTCATACTTATAAATATGTAAGACATATACTGTGCTCAGACTTGTGTATAGGATCAGCTCCTTGGCATATAAACATGAGATGCATGGCATGCTAATATTTAAAGTACATTTATAAAGAGTGTCAAAAATGATTTTACAAAGTTGCTTTCACTTGTGACAAATGGAAACTATACCTTTAGCAGGCCTTGTACAAAGAGCCCTGACTCATATTTAAATGAGGATTCTGCTTCACATAATCTGGAACATTTTCTCTCTGCTGGAGTCAGAAAAAGGCATAATGTTCTTACTATCTGTAAAAAAAAAAAAAATTAGCATTAAAATAGGAAATTAAAAGGCCATTGGTATGCTTATGAAAGAAATGTGAATAGGAACTTCAGCCATTACTGTCAATAAAATACATCCTGAGAAAAAAGCATTCCTTAGTCACCAGGAGTAGTCCATGGGACATAATATTTGTTGCTTAAAATAGGAATTCTGTGGTCAAGTAAGCTTGGGAAATAGTGGTAAATGTACTATATGATATCTCAAAACCTTTAGCATTGGAATATATATTGTGACTTTCTGGGTGATTGATATAACATGCATACTTTATCCAATTATTATATATATATAAATAATATGTATGTATATATATGTATATATACATAATATGTATGTATATATATATATAATTGATCATGGAACCTTTACATTTCAGTACAAACTAATGACTTAATATAACTATTAATTCCACCTCCACCCAGCAGCAAGTATTTTTCAACAAAAGAAATAAACAATTTTGGACAAGAAAACTAAATGCAGTTAAATTAGGCAGAATTATAGCTTCTGTTGAGTAGTTCCACATGTAAAATCCCATTCTAATCAATATCAGGAGTGTCCAAATCCTTCAAGTGAATGACAATTCTATCAAATTTGATTTAAAATAAGCAAGCCACTGGTTGGAGTCTAGAAATCTGGAATTCTAACAGGATTTGATCTATAGCTCTATTAGGAAAAGTAAAAAGCTATGTTAAGTATGTTGGGATTCAGACTGTCTCAGAGTTTTTATATTTTAAAGTAGTGGCTTTCAATATAGAGTGATGGCAGCCTTTTTCTCAAATTAAAAAGATAAAAGAGAAGTGATTACTCCAGAAGAGGATGTGCAATGAAAAAAAAATGTTTTAAAATACACAGGGCCCCAACCACAGAGCTTCTTTTTCCAGAAAGCTACTGGGAAGTCCTTCTGTGAAACCTGAAGGTTCTGGTTGACACAGAGGGAAAACTGCCTTCTTGGGGTAACAGATGTAATAATAAATCGCTAGACCAGCATAATAACACAGGTGTACTAACCTCTCATGATAATACTAGATAATAATAGATGCACTAACCTCTCATAAATGGATGTATGGAAAAATGTTAATTTTGATAAATTAAGCGTCATGCAAGCATACAGGGTAGCTATCTAGAGAAAAACATTACAAATATATTTTCAAGGAAATAATCATTCCTAACACATTTCCTGTGTAAAATATAAAAAGAAAAATCAGGTTTGCTTAAATTGATACTTATGTACAATATATTTCTTTCTAGTTAACAGTCAGTGCAGAAAAGTACAAAATCCCTTAGTTTAGTGCCTAATGTTTGGAAAGGTAACTTCATTAATTCTTTATTAACTCATATAGCACTGAAGGAAGTGGTCGCAGACATTACTGAGTAAAACATAACTTCCGCTAACCATTGAACAGCAGTAGGTCCCTAAAAGAAACAGATTTAGTAAGAAAATAAGATAAGAAATCAAAACAAATAATTAGATAACATTTCTTTGGAGTTAGTATCACAAGTACATGATTATCTTCATATTTCTTAAAAGTGACATCAGAAAATAGAAGACAAATGTTTTTTTAAAATACCTTATTTTAATGAAATTCTCAAAACCATTTATACAATACTGAGAATTATATCAAATGAATTATCAAAATGAAACTGATAAATGATTTCCTCTTTAAACAGTTTATTTCAATTTACTTCTGCACAGGGTGTCACAGTAATTTGGCTTGACTGCAACCTAACTTTTAAAGCACAATCCATAATAGGTTAGCAGTATTAAGAAGTGAGATTATTTGCTGGATTATAAAATAAGTTACCTTATTTACTTTTTCTGCACTGCTACCTACTACAACAGAACAGCCGCAGGTCTGCAAGTGTGAGCTAATGGCACTGCAAGGTGGAGAAAAAAGATGAAAAACATTGGCTGTAAAACAATTTCACAAACTAAACAAAAAAGGGCAAGTGAACTTCAAGTAACAGACTAGCTTTACATGATCAATGACAAAGCTGTAGGTAAAATTGCCAACTTTTATTTCCATAGTACTTTTATATTTTCCATAGGCCTTTCAGACAGATTCACCCATTTGAACTTAAAACCCAGTTAGTAAAATGTCACCATTTTATAATGAAAGAAACTGAGATGTCAAGAGGTTAAGTGATTTACTTAAAGACAAATGGGATTAAAAACTAGGATATGACTGGTGACAGTGAGCAGAAGGAGGATTAAAGTGTTTCTGATTCATATTATGTAATGCTTCCAGGTTCAAAACACTCACGCCTCTGAGTTTCCATCACGAACCTAAGGAAAAAGACTATGGACATGAAAGCAAATATTTTATCCTTTCATTTCTCATGAAAAACAAAGTAAGATTTTACAGTAATCTACAATAGTAAAGAATCACTGAGGTAGAAAATGAGATTCTAAGTGCAGACAGCTCACTTAGTAGAGGGATAAATGTTGGCTGATACTATTGTCACGAACATTTTCCTTAGAAGAGACAGAAGTAGAAAATGTTAGCTTTTAGCTGTTACGTGCTTATACATTCTGGGCACTGTTTTAAGTGCTTACTATGATTTATCTCACTCAATTCTTATAATAATCCTATGATGTAGATGCTACTATTATTCCCATTTTACAGATGAGGAGATGGGGGCACAGAGACTTTAGGTATCTTGCCCCAGCTTATACACAGCAATAACCCTGGAAGTCTGGTTTTAGAGTCCACACTCTAAAATCTACTATAAGATGGAAAGGATCAGTAAAAATACAAATAATTTTCTTTTCTAGGCCTAAATAACCTAGGTCCATCCACAATTCAACCTAATTCATAAGGGTTCTGTGATATTGTGATTTGTAAGAAATATGTATTTGGTCTTTATCCACATTTCCTGTCTCACAGCTCCCAAAACACTTAGAATTTCCTAAGTGCAGAAAAAGATCAAGATGCCTTTTGTAATGTTAATGGGGCGACTTTTGGAAAACATCTAAGGATGAGGGCTGATTGCCAATGGAGCCAACCACTGAAGATTAGAACTTTCAGTTCCTCCCTCTGACTTCTGGGTAGGGGAGAGGGGCTGGAAGTAATCACCAATGCCCAATGATTTGATCAATCATGCCTATGTAACGAAGCCTCCATAAAAACCCAAAAGGAAGAGGTGTGGAGAGCTTCTGGGCTGGTGAACATGTGGAGATGTGGGGACAATGGTGTGCTCAGAGATAGTATGAAAGCTCTTGACCCTTTCTCCAAACCTTATCCTATGCATCTCTTCCATATGGACATTCAGTTTATCTTAGATTCTATCCTTTATAATAAACTAGTAATCCAATAAATAAAATGTTTCTCTGAGTTCTGTGAGCTGCTCTAGGAAATTAATGGAACCCAAGGAGGGGGTCATAGGAACTTCTGATTTATACCCAGTTGGTGAGAACAGGTAAGATCCAGGTGTCTGAAGTCCAAGGAAGGAGTGGTTGGGATCTCAAATCTATAGCCAGTCAGAAGCACAGGTAAAAACTTGGGCTTGTGACTAGTGTCTGAAGGGTGGGTGGGGCACAATCCTCTGGGATTGAACTCCTAATCTGAGAATCTGACATTATCTCCAGGCAGAAAGTGCCAGAACTGAATTACATTGTAGGACCCACTTGGTATCTAAAGCATTGTTTGTTGGTATGAGGAACTCCTGCAATACTGGCAATGGGTCCAAGAACTCCCTTTTATTCTTAGTTTCAGATTTAATGAGAAGTAAACCAAGACACCAGAACCAAATAAGAGAATAAGATTTCTTGTCAGGCGCTATGGAAACTCAGCTTCTTTCAATATTAGAAAGAGTAACATCAAATATATCACAGACATGTAACATGCAAAAAGAACACAAAGCTAAGTAATACTTCAAATATGCAACACTGTTCCTAGAATAATTTGGGTAGCTATTCTATTACTTTCTTCCTTCCAAATCATCTCATTGGTGAGCATAAGAGTTCTAAGTGCTTTATCCATCTTTTATGAAAGGAAACACAATTCTTACTTGAGAAGGAAGCCTTCATGACAACTGTCACCAATGTCATCATCATTGAGAACTGTATCAGCTATCTAAAATGCACCACACACAAAAAAAAAAAGTTATTCTGGCTATAATACAGCAGTGAAATAACACTCTTACATATACAAGTTTTCTGAAGTCTCGGTCCAATAGAACACATTGCCCTCATTTCTAGGCATCAAGAATCCCAATAAAACAATCTGCAGACGCTTCTATAAACTTTCAGAAGAACAAATGTGAAAACTCGTCAGGCAGGTTAAACAACAATTTTTCAGAGAACAACTTCCTCTTCTCTGCTGTCAGAATCAGAAGACAAATCTTAATGACAAAGTCAGAGAGAAACAAGAAAAGTTTCCTAAAGGTTTTTCTACATGTGCTTAGTGTGTGATTCAAAATGTCAACATGTGATTAAGAAGACTAGATTAAGGAACAAAAGTAAACTTGTGTTAACCACCACTGACTTGTACACTGCTTTGTTACCGAAGGTACTACATTGAATACTGACTGCTCCTACAAGGTCTGGAATTCTCCCACCTCTAAGAAATACAAAATTGGTGAAATAAACTAAATATGTGTAATTCTGTCGCAACTATCCCTGACCAAAAAAAATCTCTTTTTGGCCATAAAACTCAGGATTATATGCATGTTTTTATGAAAGTGGCTAATACTTCATAGGAATAGCATATATGACAAAGAATGCACACTAGTAAAATTGGAATGCTACTAATATGCATAACAGTAATAGAACTCAAGAGAATTGATCAGAGGTAAGGTACCAGTGTTGCTATTTAATAATAAAAGTCATGGCTTACATCTATTTCTTCAGGAACACTGTGTGATTTCATAGATGAAAGCAGCTCCATTACAGGGATTACTTCGCCAGTAAGCATAGGAATAATACTCTGACCCTGTACAAAAAAGCAAAATGAAGCAAAAAAAAAAAAAAGAAACATCACACAATGAAGGTATCCCCTGCTTTTCAAAAGTTTGAGTTACACCACTTTGCTTTTACGAAAGACCTACACTAGTACCTGTTTTCAGTAGCCAAAAGAAATCCAAAGAGGATTTTTGCTTTCACACACACACTAAAGGGGAAAAGCTAAAAAGTGCTGAGCACTTGTTTTGCAATGAACCCCTCTGAGAAGCAGCACATACGCTGAGGGCAGGAGAGGCCCTGCAAAGCTCCTTCCCTGGGGACTACACGAGGCAGCTCAGCATCAAGCCTCCTTAGTTTTGGACTGTGTGAGCATCTGTGCTTTGTCTTGATTTATTTTGTGCATTCGTTAGCAGGATGCGTTCTGGATATCAGAGATGCGTAAGAGGGTTATGTTTTGGGGCTGGGAATGCCCAAGCAACTTTTCCATATAAATTAATGGTAACTGCTTCTTCACTTTATGGCCATTGCAGTGTATGAAAGGTTCTATAGGAAGGAACACTCTACTTTTGGATAGCAGGGAAAACCTGTATAGGATAAACAGGGCAATATTAAGAACTGAAAGCCAAGAATGACACCCTTTAAGAGAAACACTCAGTAGTAACATGTTAGAACACAGCCCCAAACATGTCTACTATTCCAAACCATTTCTAAAGGATGTACGTCCTATTTAAAACTCATATTCATTCTTCTAGGAATGATTTTCTTTAGTAAGAGTGGAATCATTGGCTTATCATTTACTGTTACAGATAATAATTAAATTGTCATGCCAACTTCAGAAAGGAGTTCCTTTGATATTTGAGATAAAAAAAACTCTTGTTAATTAAAGGTCACTGATGCATTTTATATTTAAAAATGAGGAAAACCGGGGCGCCTGGGTGGCTTAGTCGGTTGAGCGTCCGACTTTCGCTTAGGTCATGATCTTGTGGTTCATGGTTTCAGGCCCCGCGTCAGGCTCTGTGCTGACTGCCAGCTCAGAGCCTGGAGCCTGTTTCAGTCTGTGGCTCCCTCTCTCTCTGACCCTACCCTGCTCACGCTGTCTCTCTCTCTCTCTCTCTCCTAAAAATAAATAAAACATTTTAAAAAAATAAAAAATAAAATAAAAATGAGGAAAACCAAGCATAAAAAGGCTTAGAAATAGTCAACAAATAACTCAACACTCAACATCTACATCTGCAATAAAGTTTAGTACTCAAATGCAAATCAAAGTCATCAAACATATTTTAACAATCAATAAAACAAGTTTCCTTTAGAATTCAAGGTAAAACTTGAATTATGTATCAAAAATGCAATTTTGAAATTTGTAGCTTCTAGAATGAAATTCAAAGCTCAATACAGAACATCACAAATGCGGAGTGTCGCAAATATGGATGATCCCTCATTTATTCATTATCATCACCCCTGCCCCCAAATTTTTGGACCATCTTGAATATGTAAACTTTTAGAGAGGTAGATAAATTGTCACATGTCCATTAATTTTTAGTTAAATACATTTTTAAAATCACATATTAAGATCAATCTAATAATAGTTTTTTTCCTTACTAACATCTCATGAAACTCTCATTCAAACTTTTCACATGTGTCCTTAAATCTCAGTCATTCCAAGAGTCATTTTTTTCAGTGACTATACCCAGTTTTTCAGAAACTTAGGACTTTAAATGTGATGCTGTCTGTAGGAATTTTATGCTAAGTCACAAGCCTCCTTGCAAGATATAAAAGGTTTTATTATTAAAAAAAAAATTCATCCCGTAGTAACCTCCAAACATAACCACTCACTGTTTCTGCTTTTTAAAAGAATTTCTAAAATGCTTGTTTACAATTACAATCAACACATGCAATTCAACAAGAATAATGATAAGCTATAAAGTGATTTCTTCATAAAGTGATTTTATCAGATGACAGCTATAAGCATCCAAAACTCACACTGAATGAAGTCAGTGACTGATTCCAGACTCATGTGTCATCCCTAGATAGTATTTATTTGTTCAAGATTTGCAGGGATTCAATTATCAGGCAGTTTCTTTTCAGAAAGGATAACTGTAGGAAAATACTTCCTCTTAGGTACAGGCATATGTATAGTGCCATAAACCAAATCTCGGATATTTATCATAAGTGAATGGGCATCCTCATCAAAGCTTAACAAAAACATTCTAAAAGCCTGAACACAGAAGAGCCTCTAAAGTAAATCCCCCAAGTTTCTTTTCCTCCTTTGACTTCTCTAACTTGAACTTCTCAGCAGGAGGATGTTTCCCCTTTAAAAACCTCCAGCTGGTCCAACTATACAGAAGGGATAGGATAACAGAAGAGCCTTTAAAAGAAAAATAAAACTGGGGCACCTGGGTGACTCAGTTGGTTGATCTCAACTCATATCTGACTTGGATTTCAGCTCAGGTCATGATCTTGGTGCATGGGATCAAGCCCCAGTTAGGGTTCTGTGTTGACAGTGCTGAGCCTACTTGGGATTCTTTATCTATCTATGTCCCTCCCCTACTTGCGTTTCCACATAACACACACGCAAATAAACAAATTTATAAACAAATAAATAAAACTTTTTTAAAAAAGAAATAAAACTTAGAAATTAATAGTGGTAAATTTCTTAAGTATAGATTTCTAGTTTGGAAAAAAAAAATCCCAAGAAAAGTAGAATTTTACTGGGTCCTAAATATCTTTATCTTGAAGAAACTCTAACTCCTCCATAACTAGTAAGTACATCTAGAGGTTGGTAAAAGTCCCCTCAGTTCTTGGTACCCTGCACATTACCAGTAAGTAAAGGCCAGGCTTCTCTGGGTAAAGGGAAACATCTTCTAAGTGTCAGATCTTTCCCCAGGATTACCTCTCCTGGCCTGGGAAGCTATTTACAAAAGTACAGACATAACAATCTTGTAAAGTAGGTCATTCTATGGGGTTTTGTGTTTTCCTGGTTTAAGTCCCTGTATATTCAAATTTTTAGAAAAGTTAATTGTTCAAAGTACTATTATGTCTTGTATGCTAAGGAGAACCACAGAAAAGACAACCCAGCCATAGAACGGAGTTCAAAGAGAAGGCACACTGAGGGTGGCCAGCAGCAATGGGAGTAAAAGCAAAGAATCCTTTCTCCATTGGAGATTCCCCTTCAGAACATCTCTGCCCTGAAGTGAAATGGCTTGCATTTAATTTCCATATGGGAAACCACACCCTTGCAATCAAGCATCTCAAATACTGGTGCCTGTGCCCTAAGGACATTCAAAGAGACTTCTTATTTTCAGCAGTCTGATCCGGAAAGAAGGTGAGAATTATCACTGGCAAACTGTAATATTAAATAGATAGAAAATAAAATATAAATTGCATGACTTTTAAAAATAAAATGTGAGACTTCAAATAAATATTATGCTTAGAACTGTGTCTGTACCCCCCAGATATCTTAGGCGTATACTCACTTCCCTCCTGTTATAACTACTTCTGTGGAAATGTCTGAGAAGTAACACTTTAAAGAAAATCTCATAAAAAAACTTAAAATTTTTAGTATGACCAAGTTATTCAAAACTTACTCTATGCAAACAGAAAAAGGTAGCAAAATTACTATTATTCTCCACTTATTTAACTCTTCCGGTCTAAGATATGAAAATTTTTATTTAGTTTATTCAATATATTTCCACAAAGGCTCTGCTGATTTTCAGACTCACTCTGTCAAAATAGTATGGTGTCAAGGCCTTAAGAAAAGTAGCCCTAAGGGGCACCTGGGTGGCTCAGTTAAGCGTCTGACTTCGGCTTAGGTAATGATTTTAGGGATCATGAGTTCAAGCCCCACGTCAGGCTCTGTGCTGACAGCTCAGAGCCTGGAACCTGCTTCAGATTCTGGGTCTCCTCTCTCTGCCCCTCCTCTGCTCAAACTCTGTCTCTGTCTCTCTCTCTCTCAAAAATAAATAAACATTAAAAAATAAATAAATAAATAAATAAACATTAAAAAAATTTTTAAAAAGGAAAAAGACAAGTAGCCCTCAGCCTTATATAGATACATGTCGTGAGCCTGATGGTGTTTGACAGTACGCAATCTGTATCTTACCTGATCTTCCATTCTTTCTGTGCCTTCTAAGACTATTTTCTGGACATTTTCTTGCCTTTCCTAAGCAAGAGAAAATTCATTGAAATTAAATTTAAAAAAATATATCGATACTTGTTTACTTTTCAAAATACAGTTGTGTAATTTAATTCATGGGAAAAATATTTTCCGCATTGGGGCAGAAAAAAGGGAGGGGGCAGGAAATTAATCCAACAAATTCCTTCTTATAAATGATACAAAATAAAATAAAAACACCCTTTTCTCTGCAGTTAGAAAAGATAACTTGTCAGAAAACAGTCAATGTAATACCTGCATAGTTTCACAAAGGAAATTATAATGATTTGTACTTTTCAAATTAAATAGGATCAAGTTGAATCTGGGGGCTTCCTGATTTTAAATGATTTTCATAAGCATTTAAAATAAGAAAACATGTAAGCAAACATAGTAAAACACTATTCTTTTGAAAGATACTATTTCTCCTTACTATCCAGTAAAAGCCTTATAAAATTAATTAATAATGCTTTAACAGACTTCCATATTAGTATCAAAATTGTAGAGCAGAAGAGAGTTAAACTTGTTCTTCAGATCAGCCAAAAGTACATGAAAATATAAATATCACCAAATATTAACCCACAGGATTTAGAGGATGACAGCAATTTTCTCTGGCTCAATCTGCAAAATTAAAAGGAACATCTCCTGGAAACCATTTGGTCCAACCTCATTTTACGAATTTCAGAACTTGGCAAAGAAGTCAAAGAGACCAAAGGCTACATGGCCAACTGCTTATGAAACACTTGTTTTGACCTGCTTGGACCTACACACAGTACTAAGTGAAAAACAGGGTCATGCAACGCAAAAAGAAAAAAGGTTTTATGGTATGTTTCCTGAGACAAACTCAGACTCTAAAACTTATTAGGATATTCTTTTTTTTTTTTTTTTAAATGTTTTATTTATTTCTAGGAGAGAGAGAGAGAGAGAGAGAGACAGCGTGAGCAGGGGAGGGTCAGAGAGAGAGGGAGTCACAGACTCTGAAACAGGCTCCAGGCTCTGAGCTGGCAGTCAGCACAGAGCCCGATGCGGGGCCCGAACCCACGAACCGCGAGACCATGACCTAGGCGAAAGTCGGACGCTTAACCGACTAAGCCACCCGGGCGTCCCTTAGGATATTCTTAACTTCTCTATGCTTTAGCTTTTTACTTGTAACATAGAGCTATCGTCCCCTACCTTGAAGGGTTATTATGAAGATCACTGACATCAGACTACTAGACCTATGTATTTAATAGGGCAGATGGAGGAGTGCTTGCGTGGCTCAATGGGTTAAGTGTCCAACTTCAGTTCAGGTCATGATCTCACAGCTCTTGGTTCCAAGCCCCACGTTAGGCTCTGTGCTGACAGCTCAGAGCCTGGAGCCTGCTTTGGAATCTGTGTCTCCACAGAAGGTCTCTCTGACCCTCCCCTGCTCAGGCTTGTCTTCTCTCTCTCTCTCTCTCAAAAGTAAACACTAAAAAAAAAAATTTAATAGGGCAGGTGCAAATAATAGCTACCACTTGAAATTAATTGCATATAGTTTCTAAAAATTAGATATAAATTTATCAGAAGATAAACATTCAATGGCTAGGTTAGCATGATTAATAAGCTCAAAAGTCACTCACCTTGTGCATCCATATCCTTCCTTTTCTGATAATATGTGTTAATCTATCAACACACACTCTGTGAAGTGGGAGGTAGAAGCTAAGTTCAGTCTGTGGAAGTATAATTGATAGACCATATGTGCTCCTATCTCCATTCCAGTTTCCATCAAAGATCAATGAAACAATAATGACTCCTTTTTCAGACAAGACAAAAAACTTCACATCTATAGCTCCACTCTCTGCATTTCGGAGGATTTCTCCATTTAAGGTGTGGTTGGCAAGAAAAGTTATTTCTCCATCGCTGAGAAGTAGCTGTTCTGTCTTAGGAGCCCAAATGTGTCTTACTCTAGGACCAAGAATATTGTCCCAGTAAGCAAAGGTAGCTGCTAATAAAGGTGATTCACCACTTAGAGCAATCTCTGTCTTGGCAACAGCTGGAGATGGTGGTGGACAGAGATTCGACATCACTGCATCCCAACTATCACATTATCCAAATGCTCCAGGGATATCTAAACAATGACATACAAAATCAATAATTAGGTTCAGTCATTTTAAAGTCATACGGCAGAAACCCAAATGATTTAGGCCTATATGGTTTTCTCCTCTTCAGTAAAAAAGGATTTGAAAGCATGTCCCCACCAGCTAGCATGGCAAGTACACATTAAATGCTTGTGAATATGATAAACTTATGATACATAGTATCTTGTCACCTATATTCAGGGAATACACTTAGAAATCCAAAATAATAATGACCTAAAAAAAGGTCCTTTGGACATTAATATGAATACTACATACTAAAACTCATAGAATAGACTCTCACTGTTCCCAAACATCCAGTCTATGTGCAATTCTAGTATCATTGGATATTTCCTTCCTTAACCTTAGCAACTAAAGAGGAACAAATTGGGAAGGGGAGAACTCAGCAACAGACCACTACTTGTTGTGGACTGAACTGTGTCCCCCACAAAATACATGTTCAATTCCTACCCCCCTCTGTATTTGTGAATGTGACCTTATTTGAAAATAAGTGTAATCAAATTAAGATGGGGTCATACTGGATTAGGGTGGATCCTAATCCAATGATTGGCATCCTTATAAGAGAAAGATTTAGAGACACATGGACGAAGAGGAAATGGGGCTGTGAAAGGCAGAGGTGGGAACTGGAGCCAAGGAAAGGCAAACATTGCTGGTAACTTCTACAAGCTAAGGGGCAAGAAAGGATACTTCCCTACAACCTTCAGAGGTGCATGTTCCTAGAGACACCTTATTTTGGACTTCTAGCTTCTAAAACTGGGAGAGAATAAATTTTTGTTGTTGTTTTATATCTCCCAGTTTGTGGAACTTTGTTATGGCAGTCTTAGAAACTAGTAAAGACACCTGTCAGTAACAACATCCTAAAGCTGTTAAAAGGATGGGCGGGGGAGGGGAAGAAGAAAGGGAGGGAGGAAGGAAAGCAAGCAAGCAAGCAAAAAACACAACAATCTGGGACCATAACAAAAAAAGAGCAAAAAGTCCTGTTATTCTCAACAAATTCTCACGGTACTAAAGCCCAATTTCGGGTTTAACATGACACTGAAACATCAAGATGAAGATAAATACATTTAATATGCTACTTAAATTTAAGAAAGCTGTGTAGCATTGCACTGAGTTCATTACAGAGAGAGCTCTATGCTAAATGGCTAAAATAAAAAAGATTTAGTTGTTTAGAACATATAAAGAGCAAAGTGACTGGATGGGATACTGGCCAAACCTTCCAAACTGAGATAATACACAGAGACAAAAGCAAACAGCTCAAGGTCACAGAGTCAGGCAAGAATTGAGGTCTTCATACATCTTAACTCACTGAAATATAACACTCTAAAAGTATATACTCTATGTGATATTAGTGTAAAATGAATCATTCTTGCCTAATATTAAAATAGAGGGGTCCCTGGTTGGTTCACTTAGTGGAGCATGTGACTTTTGATCTCCGGGTTATGGGTTTGAGTCCCAGGTATAGAGATTACTTAAAAACAAAATCTTTAAAAACAGTTGAATGCATAGATTAAAAGGTTCAAAATGAAAAGAAACACAAGAAACCATTTAAACCAAAAGAACCATTTAAGCAAGTCTAAAAATGTGGAATGTATTCATCATAATGATAAAGGATAGCAATTAATAGGTAAGTTATGATATACTTATCTTTGTTTCAGGACTGCTTTGAGAGGTAACATTTGATCTATAACTATTTACTTAAAGAATTTTATCTGCATCTTGTCAAGAGAGTTCAGAGACTGCTGAAAAGCAGTGACTTCTATTTTTAGAGTATTAGAAGAGCATTTTTATCATGCATGTCAAGAATAGGTATACAGAACTCGGCAAAACACTACAGTATGCATGTGTAGAAAAGATTTAACATAAAGGCAGTTTATGTATGTATTGTTTAGTTCAGCAACTCATTTAGGGAATATTTACTTTTTAATGTGTTATATCAATTAATAGTCTTAAAAGACTGTATTGGACATAAATTGTCTACCTTATTTGAAATATCCACTGTTTTGGATACAATTTAAACAGTTTACAATTACAGAATACAGGAATGTAATTTGAATTCAAACTGTAATGATGTTGTCATCATGAATAACAAACTGGAGACTACAAAATTGTATTGTAACATTTTTCTTTTGTTCTTCTGTTTTGAATAAAAAAGGTAATAACTGGGGGACCTGGGTGACTCAGTCAATTAAGCACCCGACTTCAGCTCAGGTCATGATCCCACATTCGTGGATTCAAGCCCCTGTCTGTGCTGACAGCTCAGAGCCTGGAGCCTGCTTCAGATTCTGTGTCTCCTTCTCTCTCTGCCCCTTCCCCTCTCGCAACTCTCTCAAAAGTAAACATTAAAAAAATTTTTTTAAAGGTGAATAATCATAAAAACAAAACTTTGCCTCAAACATTTCATCATTACATTGAAAATAGCAGCATTTCCTAAAACCGAACTGAGCCCTAGAGCAAAATCTGGTAGGATCACGGGGAAATTTTTACCTGACGGTGAAAATTCAACTATCACAGACCATTAATTACATTTAGTCTCATTGCTAGTCTCATTAGAAAGAAAAGAAAGGACAAGGGCCATATTGAATTGTTTAGCTTAAAATCCTGTCAAAATTAAGAAGTTTGAGAAATGAAATGTTACGGAGAAGAATAATTAGGAGGTCTGTAAAAATAATTTTACTAACACTTAAAGTCATCATCCTTGGTAAGGAAAATCCATACATATAAGGGTGGCTGAAAAAAATCAGGTCAAAACCAATCGTCTTTTATATCTATATATCTATATGTAGTTGGCTACTCCAGAAGGTTATCAAACATTAGCCATAAGAGTCTTTTGAGGGAAACCAGGATCCAAATTGGGTGACACGGTGGCTTGCCACTCCTGTAAACAAAGAATAGGGTTCATGAGGATATACCAATATACTTTCTGAAAATCATCCAACATATGCAGACAAAAAGATTATATTAATTACCATCTGTTAAAACTTCTGGCAGAGTAGTAGGTTTGAAGCTTGGCTTTTTCTTAACCTTTTGCTAAAAATCAGCCGTCTCTTCTCTCACTGGTATTTATAAAGTTGGTTGGTCCACTGTTGTAAATCAGAATTATGCCATCAGAAGGCTCTCACTTCTTGTAACCATGCTTTCAGTTTATTTTCTCCCAGCCCTTTATAAAAGAAGCAGGATCCCAAACCAGCCCACTTCCTGAAACAGACCATGCTCAGGCCAGCTTTAATGACAGTGAACTGTTTGTTAACAGGAGACTGTTTGCAACACTTTCTAAATTTTTATCAGGGGAGACTCGGAAATGAAGTTTACATTATCACTATCAGGTGATCTCTTACAGATCCAAGTTTCTCACATAATAGGAAGACAAACCCACACTGCTCCTTACAACTACTTAATTACCAAAGGGCCCTAGGGCAGGCTTGAAAAATAGGAGTCTTCATTGTTTTAGTTTTTTTAAACCTCTTTCCTCCGAAAGCAAATTTTGGACTGCTAACAGAGCCAAATAAAGAGACTATTTTATCAACTTTATAACGGGGGAAAAAATCTTTAGCTCCAATGCACTGTTTCCTGCAGCAGGTTAGTGCTGGCTTAGTGCACCATCAGCAATGTCGTCTAGAATTTCTCATTTTTGTTCTGGAAGTATAAAAAGCAGGTATCACTAGGTGATTTTCCAACTAATTGAGGGCTTTTCCAAAGGAGCAGGGCTAGCTGAGGTGCTGGCCAAAGGTATCTGTGTCACATAACACTATCGTATTCCAAGTATTCTGACTTCATAATATTAAGCTTTCATATATATTCCGCCGCTGTGAGATTCATTCCCATTATGTTAAAAGTTTCCTGGGGCGCCTGGGTGGTTCAGTCGGTTAAGCGTCGGACTTCGGGTCAGGTCATGAGTTCACGGTTCGTGGGTTCGAGCCCCACGTCGGGCTCTGTGCTGGCAGCTGGCTCAGAGCCTGCAGCCTGTTTCGGATTCTGTGACTCCCTCTCTCCCTGACCCTGCTCTGCTCACACTGTCTCTCTCTGTCTCGCAGGGGAAAAAAAAAAGAAAAAGAAAAAGTTTCCTTAAGCATGAGAAAGATGGTATCAGTATTTTTCAAGTTAGAAGTACAAATTAAAATACCAGACATGTTGTGTCCCCTTGCTTTGCATCACAGGTGAGCGATGGGAACAGGTGGAATGGAAAATTATCCATTGGCCACAACCAGGCTGTTAGTTAACTAGAGCCTAGCTAGCAATCTCCACGGTTTCTGAAAGGGCCATTGTCTTTCTTGGGCAAGTGCATAACCTCTCTCTGCTGAATAGAGAAGACTGGTGAGTTCAAGAGGTGACTCAGACCCCCTGTGGGCACAGCAGACTTGTAATCAGGGCACTTGTTTCTGCAACAGATACCATCAGCCAAGGGATGCTCAAGTCAAAGGTCACTTCCTTTAAGTAAGTCAGTGTAACCTCCGAGCTGTGAAGCAAGTCATGACCCACACAGTGGAAGCACAACCCAGTCTAGAATCGCTCCGCAAATTTACAAGACATCAGCAATCTCTAGAAACTTCTATTCAAATTGTGTAGCCATGCGGTATACCCGGGCCACCATCCCAACCCGCAGTATCTCCTCTCGCACCCCGACATGGTGTTCACCGCGCACCACCCTCCCTGTGGCCTTCCCAGGGCCAGGCCTCTCAGTGCCGGAGGCGCTTTTCCCTTGAACCCGCGGTGGAGGTGGTACGGCGGGTCCCTTTGGGTCTCACACAGGATCCCCGGAAAGGGGCCGGCTCGGGGGCTGCAGGCGGGAAAGCCGGCTAGCGGCCTGGTCTGCAGCCCCTGGTCTCCGTGCCGCCGCTGCCGGGAAGGCTGGGGCCCGGATGGAGGCAACTCCACTAGTCAGCAGCTGGAAAACCCGATGCCAGGTCTCGGTCGGGGAGGACGAACCGAATCCTGGGGAGAGCTGCAGCCGCGGCCGCCCCCGCGCGGTCCCAGGACCCCGAACACAAACAAACGCCGGCCAGCCGGCTTCTCACTCACCCACTCGCCACCACCAGCGACTCAGCAGCCGCGGGCGCAGGGACCGCAACCGCAGCCCGGCCACCGCCCCGCCCCGCCCCCGGCCCCGCCCCCGGGCCCGGCCCTCGCTCGCGATCCAACCCCTAAAACCCCTCCCCGCCGCAGCTGTTCCCCGCCTGGTGCACTTCTGGGTAGATTTTACCTGATCTTTCGCCCGTCACCTTCGGCGAATATTGTGAGAGCAAGCGGAGGGGAGAAAGGGTGAGCCAAACAAAAGGACACACCTCTTAAGCACACACCTCCAGCTCTCTCTGGACCCCGCCCCTGAAGGGAAGAAACCGGGCAGCAGGGGCGGTTGACGCTTCAAGCGCCATCTTTTACGTGGGCGGAAGAAGTCGCCCTTAACTTCGTTTTCCTCTTGGGACGCCGTAGGTACGTCTTTGAGTTTTCGATTTGCATTTACGTGAACGCGGGAAGCGAGTGCAAGTGGGCGGGTCGCTTTTGCTCCATTCCTTTGTTCAATGATGGGTTCGGTGGAAAGGGGGAGTAAAGTGTCAGTGCTTTTTGTAATGAGGTAGGCTCCTGAGCCTCGAAAAAACAGAGTTGGTAGTTGTGAATGGTTTTGTTGTGTGCTCTGGCAGATAGTGTGTGTTGAATTAATGGATTTATTTTTTCCTTGTGACACTATTAAGTGTGCTGTAACTTCACCTCAAGTCTGGTTAGGTAATTTCCTTTTCCCACAAAACCTAGTCACCACAGTGTTGTCTTTACATATCAGCATTTTCTTAAGCATGATTTTCACATTTTTAAACGTCATTTTTGCTAGTTGCACAATGTGGGGAAGTTGGTTTTTGTTTTTTTTAGCCTTCGATAATGTACTTCATTCTGTTTGATGTGCTGTATGATTTGTTTCTAAACCTTGAGTTAATTAGCCTTTTGGTATGCAGGTATATGTGGTACAGAGGCATAGCGCTTAACATTTTTCATCTTTAGAAATCATACAGCACATCTTTATCACTGGGGAAGAAAAGAAGGAATAAATACACAAATGACTCCTTCAAACGTCTACCCTTTGCAGAATTAGAACCCTTACCCAATCAGTGCTGTATGCTTGTATCATAGCACCATATAAGTCCATTCATTTAGTTCCTATTGTGTGTTCGGTACTATGCTCCTTAGTCTATGTCCTTCTGTGGATTGGAGCAAAAAAATCAAGAGGGAGAAAGTAATTATGACAGTACTGTGATCCACAGTACCTGTATGGTGTAAAATTTTACATTTGAAGGTGTAAAATAGAACACATATCCTAGTGTACATCCTTTCTTTAGGAAGCCAAAGAGAAAATGACACTAAGTACATAGTAATGTGATCCATATTAGCAGGACCAGAGGGTGGCCTGGGAATCTGGCTTTAACCCTTACTTCCTCCAGACTCTGTCCATCAGCCCAAATAACTCAGCCATCTAGTGAAAATACATTTTGCTATTGAAATGTTTCTTCAAGAGACCTAGTCCTCCAGTAACAACTAGACTAATACTCCAAGATACTGTTTAGAAATTTTGAGCTCTCCACCTATCTACATGTAATGAATCAGCAGTCATACAAAAAGGCTCAACTAAGAGAGCAGTGAAGCAGGTAGCCAAGAGGTTGGTCTCTGGAATCAAAGCTGGTATAAATATTATCTTTGCCTTTGATCAGTTGTGAGACTTTGGTCAGCATGTAACTTGTCTCATTTGTTTTTTGAGGTATGTAACTTTTCTTACCTCAGTTTCTACAAAATGGCAAGCAGAATAATTTCTCACTGGGTTATTGTGAGGTTCACCTGAGATCAAGTAAGCTATGAATTTAGAATAGCACATGCAAGCAAGGGTGGCTTTAATCTTAGTTTTAGTAATCATGCAGGGATAACTGAAGAAATAAGAAATGACTTGTAAATCTCTTAAACTGTGTACATATTTATAATTCCAATAATCAGAGTATCAGAACCCAGGGAATATTATTGGTACATAACAAATGTCAGTTATTGGCAGGAAGCCTTTTCCCCCTCCTCTCTTTATTAATGTATTTCAGAAATGTCTCATATGCTGCTTTGGAGCTGAGCTGAGGATTTGTTGATTACCTCCCATTTACCAGGATTACAGCAAATTAGATTTAACTGTGACTGGCATGGGAACTATCTGATGTCGGACATGGATGAGGAATATTGCTATATAAACCACAGTGAGTTTAATTTCTTTTAAGTAATGAGATTTTATGTGGTTGCCTTAATCATTGCAGACTTATCAGTATGCACTTTATGGTACATTGCCTTTTGGTTGGAATATAAATGAGCCAACACCCAGCCGAGGTACTTCCAGTTACAATCTTGGTTACGGTATATATTAAGTTAATTCTGTGAGCCAGTGTGATATAGATGGTTTAGAAAGCTCTCGTGGGTCCACGTCTGCGCTACTGATGCACGTTGTAGGCAGTGCCCCTGTGAGATAACATTAGGATACAAGGTATATTTTCATGTCCTTCTGGGATTTACCATTGTACAAACAGTAAGCTTCTCAATGAGAACAATCACATCCTCCATGAGGTATTGACCTCTGTTTCCTCCATGCTGGTGCTCTGTACCTCACGAGCAACAGTTATGAAATGTCTAAGACCCAAAAACAAAGAGTCCCCAGGAAGAAGCAATTCCTAGCTAATTGCAGCATCATAAAACGCACAACAAGAAAAAGAACAAGTTGAACAATAAGCCAGACCCTTCCCAGGCCCATTTCAGAATGTCTCCCTGAGCCCATCTGCCTGTGGGGAACCCCACTTGGAGCTCTCAGCATTTTTTTATTTATGTGTGTACTTCACTATTCTTACTAGTATGTTGCTTTTAAGTAGATTCTTTAGTTATTTCACGTGTGGCTTCTGCCTCTCAACTTTGTCACAGGCTATATGAGACCCCGGACGGTGAGTGTGCTTACAATTTCATCTTCTCACTCCTCTGGTTTTGGCACATATTAGATCATTAGTAATGCCAGCTGGCTAACTGAAACTTCATTCCTACTACTTAAAATCTTAGAATTGTTATCCTTAGGCCAGGCTCTTGTCATGCAAGGGCTTCTTTTGAAAATGGCCTTTGTCTTTATTCATGGGCCAGAGTGATAGCCTTTCAGGTTCAGGATCACTTTGATTTGAAGTGGGTGAGAAGCTTCTGTCTTTTTTTTTTTTTTTTAACCTTTATTCATTTTTTAAGAGACAGAGCATGAGTTGGGGAGGAACTGAGAAACAGGGAGACAGAGAATCCGAACCAGGCTCCAGGCTCTGAGCTGTCAGCACAGAGCCTGACGCATGGCTCAAAGCCACGAACTGTGGGATCATGACCTGAGCCAAAGTTGGACGCTTCACCTAACTGAGCCACCCAGGAGCCCCAGAGCTCATGTCTTGTTTTGTCATCAGTGTCATCTTTCCTACCTCCTTCTCCATACAATTTCTTTAGCACAAAAAAGAAACAGAAAATCATAACTATCCTTGGAGGCCATCTCAGGTCACTTAGTTTTAAAATGTTTTGGGGCGCCTGGGTGGCTTAGTCGGCTAAGCGTCCGACTTTCGCTCGGGTCATGATCTCGCGGTTCGTGGGTTCGAGCCCCGCGTCGGGCTCTGTGCTGACTGCCCGCTCAGAGCCTGGAGCCTGTTTCAGAGTCTGTGACTCCCTCTCTCTCTGACCCTCCCCTGCTCACACTGTCCCTCCCTCTCTCTCCTAGAAATAAATAAAAATTTTAAAAAAATATTTAAAATGTTTTGACATCTGTTTTTTTTTTTAATTGAAGTACATACAGTTGGCATACAATATTGTATCAGTTTTAGGAGTGCAACATAGTGATTGGACAATTGTATACATTACTCATCGCTGACCAGGATAAGGGAAGTCACCATCTGTCGCTACACAGGGTAATTACAATATTACTGACCGTGTTCCCTCTGCTGTACTTTTCATCTCCGTGACTTATTTGTTTTATACTGGAAATGTGGACCTCTTAATCAGACATCCGTGAAGTTTTAACACCTACTGTTTTCCTTCTTAAAAATTTTCTTGATAAAATTGACCCTTTCTTTTACACGTGTCTGTAAGGACTGGCCTCTAACCTTCCCCAGATAACCTTTGTGAGCTTTTCGTTGGAGTTGCACTGAACTTTTAGGTCAATTTGTTGTCCTTCCATTTATAAGCATGGCATATCTCTTTACTTACAACTCCTCATGTATTCTTTAATTAGGTTTTATAATTTTTGTGGGAAAGATGCCTCACATATTTTTTGAGTTTTTCCCCAAGTTATATTTTGTGTTGCTATTAAAATTTTTCTTCTCAAAATGACATGTTACTCTTTTAATTAAAAAAAATTTTTAAGAGAGAGTGAGCAAGTGCGGCAAGAGTGGGGGGGAGGGACTCTACATCCAGCACAGAGGCCGATCTTAACCACTGTGAGATCGTGACCTGAGCCAAAATCAAGAGTTGGATGCTTAACTGACTGAGCCACCCAGGTGCCCTTGAAAATGACATTTTAAATTATTTGTTTCGAGTATTTAGCATCACTAGTTTTGTTATGTTCATTTTGTGCTTGGCAGTTTTGCTGACTGTTCTTACTGGTTGTGAATATTTAAAAACCATAAAACAAGGGTATCAATCATTTCTCTCTCTCATCCACAGCGTTCAGTAGCTGCCTGTTTCCCATAGTGTCCAGGTCCTTAGAATGACTAAAGGCTCTCCACAGTCTGGCTCCAGCTGAATTTTCAAGGACCCATTCCTACTGCCCTTTCCACTAGTTACTTGCAGATCTGTGAGTGTTTACTGCTTTGTGAACACTCACATAGTACAGTGGCCTGGAATGCCCTAACGGCTCCAGTTCTGTGTGTGTGAGAGGAGATAGCAGCCACATGTTGCCTCCTGCAGGAAGTCTCTGAATTTCCCCAGTTAGAATCAATGTGACATTCAGTTATGCACCCTTAGCCTCCACTCCTCCGCTATTAATATAAAAATCAAACTCTTTGTATTCACATTTTACCATTTTAGGGCAAATAATGATCATATAATACTGAAATTCAAAACTATTTGCACACTTATAATGAGAACTGAGTAATGTATAAATTGTTGAATCACTATACTATACAAGTGAAACTAACACTGTATGTTAACTACAGTGAAATTAAAATTAAAAACTTAACAATAAAGAAATTAGAAACCGTTAGAGATGGTGGCAACAACACAATATACTATTTAAAGGTATCATTAGCTTTGACGTCAGGCTAGCCTAGGTTTGAATCCCTGTTTAGCTACTTTGTATCCTTGGGCAAGTGACTTAACATCTTTGAGCCTCAAATTTCCTCCTCTTGAAAAATGGGATTGCTTTGAGGATTAAATGGGATAATACACATGAAATGTTTACCCTGAAACCTACCCCATGGTAATTGCTCATTAGCACTGTTATCACATGGTAGATACTCAGTTGGTGTTTCTCGAATAAATCTAATCCCAATCCCTAGTTTACGGATGAAGAGACTGAGAAGGCAAGAACAAGAAACTCTCTCAAGGTCATACCTTTAGTTTGGGGCAGATCTGTAACTAACACTGCAAAATGAATATAATCCATATCTTCACTAGATTGAAAGCTTCCTGAGGGCAGGGACCTTTTCTTATACACCTTTGTCTTCCCCTTATTTCTAGGCATAGGGCCTTGATTATATTAGACTCTCAGTAAATGTTGAGTGCAATTTAAGAAAGTTCCCATCAGAATCAAGAATAAATTAAGAAATTCTTTAAATCTGTACATAGATTTGACTTTGCAGAATTTTACTAAGCTACAAATATGTCACATGATCAAGAGATCCTGATAAGGAAAAGCTTAACTTAATATTATTGTATTTATAAGTGACAAAAATAACAGGCCACTTAAGGGTGAAGATTTCCAGATAGAGTAAACATGTCATGAACTTCCAAAGGAAGAGGTTAAGACATTCATATACATTATTTTTAACCTACAGTTTTACCCATGGCATTAATTATGAGTTTAAATGTGATTATGAAAGATAAAAAGTATTGCCTTTATAGAAGCAATGGAATTTGATGAGTTGTTAATCATGAAGGTTAATTAGTTCCCTTTGTGAGAGCAAGGAACTGAGTCACAGGTAGTTGGTCTGTTTTCAAAACTGTAAGAAGGGATGGATTATCATGTCATTATTTTTCATCCAAATACATAGAGAGATATTCATCTTTTTAGTAGCTTGCCTGGGAAATTAAAGAATGCCTTTTTTTGTCAAAATTAAGATTTTGCAATTTTTCATATAAATTATAAACCTGTAGACATGTGTAATTTAGTACAGAACAGTAAGCTAGATGGATAGATGAGAGGTAAATTATTACTATTAATCACAGTGTTAGTTCTTTCAAACTTTATTTTCCTCTTCAGAAATGACTCCTTATTTGCTTGTCCGTATTCCATATACAGGGATATAGAAGAGAAATAGTGCTGGAACACTGATGATCGCATCTCAGGACCATGACTTGCTTTTCCCAAATAGTGCTTCCGGAAAGAATGAAAATACTGCATGGGGAGTGACATAAAGATCTCATCCCAAAGCACTTTTTCCGCTAATGAACTATACGTTATAAGTCAGAAGATGTGCGCTTTTTTTTTCTTTTTTCTGAACACGAGAAAAAAGAAAAGCCAAGCAAATGGTCCCTTTGATGAGTAGCAGAGACCTAATACCCTTCTGGTGTTGCTGTGCCAGGATCCAATTATCTCCCACATTCCTTTTTTTTTTTTTAATTTTTTTTTAATGTTTTATTTATTTCTAGGAGAGAGAGAGAGAGAGACAGCGTGAGCAGGGGAGGGCCAGAGAGAGAGGGAGTCACAGACTGAAACAGGCTCCAGGCTCTGAGCTGGCAGCCAGCACAGAGCCCGATGCGGGGCTCAAACCCACGAACCGCGAGATCATGACCTAAGCGAAAGTCGGACGCTCAACCGACTAAGCCACCCAGGCGCCCCAATCTCCCACATTTCTTAACAGTGTTTACAAACTGCTTGTGTATTCAAGTTGAATTAAATGAATGGCAAATCCAAATGAAGAAAGAAAGAAAGAACAAAGTAAAGTTGAAGTCTTGATCCTTTTCATGCCTAACTATTGTCATTGTGGAAAAAAAAAATCCTAAAAAGTAGAGTTCAAATTCCTACTCGCTTTAGGGCAAGCAGCCTGTGTACTGTCCAGCTCTGTGTGCCAAGTGCTTGTTAAAATTAATTATCATTCAACAGCTTTCTCTAAGTAGAACTCCCAGAAAATATGCTTGGAGTAGAGAAATGCAAATTGGGTTATGAGGTAATTTTGTACTCTAGGGACAGATTTTATTTTATTTTTTTCATTTCATATTACTTCATGTTGGAGAAGGTTCATTATTATTTATACAGCAGAACAAGCCCCAAAGCCAATCCATTTCCAACCTTCTTGTCACTTTCTGCATTCCAAACACCACTAAATTCCCAAATGACTAGGCTAATTCTTTCCTTAGAGAGCCATAAAACTTGCTTGCGGTATTACTAACTTAGGTGATAGCACTTTATTGAAAATAAGCCTTCTTCTCCAGGAGTGTGTTCAAAGACTTCATTTCTATGTGGCTGTAACTGTGGTGGAAGAGAAGGAGGCTTATCTATTGATTATCATTTCTGAATTGTTTCCTTGAGCACCTTGGGCCTACACTAATAGTGTCGGGGGGTGAGGGGGGACTGGCTACTGAAATAGTTTGGAGTGCATGCTCCAAATTTATTCTACTGATTTTATATGTTTAAGATACACTTCTGAAAATGTTATTTATCAAATGAATTTGGTCTACTAGATGACTGACTGGTATATTCAACATACCCTTTTTTGCAATTAATCAAAATATTGTTACGAAATTAATTTGAACACAAACCCCATAAAGCTTTGTTTAGAACCGAACAGGAACAACAAGAAATCATTTAAAAATTTTTGTTTAATGTTTATTTATTTTTACAGAGAGAGAGAGAGAGAGACTATGAGCAGGGGATGGGCAGAGAGAAGGAGACACAGAATCTGAAGCAGGCTTCAGGTTCTGAGCTGTCAGCACAGAGCCAGATGCAGGGCTCAAACTCATGAACTGCGAGATCCTGACCTGAGCCGAAGTCAGACACTTAACCATCTAAGCCTCTACAAAAAAACATTAGTTACTTCCCTTTTGCACGCCACCTCCATACCCTGACTCCAGGCTAAGTAAGGTAAGAGGGGTGATTCTTCAGGCTTGCCTGGTTTAACCCCCGTGAGATGAATCTGTCTTGTGTGCAGGGTTCTGGGGCTAGCAGTATAACCAGTGGGTTGAAGAAAGGAGATTTTTCCGTCCCAACATAAGAACTTCCTGACAGAGTTGCATCAGGATGACATTGGTAGAGAGTTCTTCCCCTGGGAAGCATTCAGGGGTGAGCTAAGCTGTTCCAAAGAGGTGATTCAGGTAATAGATGGACAGTACGATCCCGAGAGTCTTGACAAATGACTCCTTCAAGATTGTGTTCCCTCTTTTAATTGCTGCAGCTGGAAGAGCTTTTACAAAGTAAAACCACTTTGTAAGTGTAGGACAGGAATGAAAACTTCAGATTCCTCTCTTGATTGTGGCCAGCCCATTCAGAGAAGACGTCTGTGAAAGCTGTCAAGGAGAAAAACTTCCCTGAGATGATGGAAACTTTTAAATTGGAAAGGAATAAAATGAAGAAGTGAGATTTTTTAAATTGTGAGTTGCAATCCAGCTCTCATTTCCGTGTACTGATTTCGTTTTGAGGAAGGACCCAGCTGACCAGGAAAAGCTAATTTTGCAATGTTACTCACTTTTTTGAGAATTGAGTAGAAATGATGGGGCATGTGCTTCCCATCTCCTTGCTCCTCCCTCTCCCACTTCAGAAAAATCAACATAGTCAGAACAGTTCTGAAACAAAAGCTTTTTCTACTGAAGAACTTATGCAAGAAAGATTTACTTTATATGATACGCAAGGACCAATTTTTTTTTTTTTTTTTTTTAACCCAAGACCCATTTCAAATTTTACTTCCTCTGAAGCCTTTCTGGACCAGTTTGGCCAATGGGACTTTTCCCTCTTCTGGTCTAGAGCATTTTTCCTTTGGTATTTATTTAGTACCATTTTGCACTGTTGATAGTTATCTTTGGAAGAGAGAGGGAAAGGTCCCGAAGGAGTCCTGGAACAAATTATAGCAGAGAACTTCCCCGACCTGGGGAAGGAAGTAAATGTGGAAGTACAAGAGGCTCAGAGGACTCCCCTCAGACGTAACCTGAATCGATCTTCTGCACGACATATCATAGTGAAAATGGCCAAATACAAGGACAAAGAGAGAATTTTGAAAGCAGCTAGGGAGAAAAGGGCCCTCACATACAAAGGGAAACCTATCAGAGTGGTGACAGACCTATCTACTGAAACTTGGCAGGCTAGAAAGGAATGGCAGGAAATCTTCAATGTGATGATAGTTATCTTTATATTTATACGTGTTTTGTCTCACCTCAGATCATATTCATGGTGGGCCCTGAGGGAAAGCAGTACAAAGTCAAGGACGGGACCTTTATTCAAATATAACTTATAAACCCTGAGTTCTCTTCTTCCCCAGCCTCCCACAAGTGTGTACAGCACATTGTGTCTGGCACATAGATGCTTATAAATATTCACTGTAGCTGGTTTGAAAGTGTTACTATAGTGCCCAACATCAGGCTTTCTACATAGCAGTTAAATAAATCAAGGTTAATTTTATGAATAGACAACACATTCACATGTTAAAAAATCCGAATGATGTTAGAGACGCCTGGATGGCTTAGTCGATTAAGTGTCCAACTTCAGTTCAGGTCATGATCTCACTGCTTGTGAGTTAGAGTCCCGCATCAGGTTCTGGACTGACAGTTCAGAGCCTGGAGCCCGCTTCGGATTCTGTGTCAACCTCTCTCTCTGCCTCTCCTCCTCTCATACTCTCTCTCTCTCTCAAAAATAAATAAACATTAAAAAAATTCATTGAAAATATCCAAATGATGTTAAAATTAATACAGTGGCAAGTCTCACTTCACCCTACTCCTCATCCACTCTATTCCTCCTGCCCTTTCTTCTGTTGATTTTTTTTTTGTGTTCATCTGGTATCTTATTATGAAAATGCAGGAAAATATAAATATGTATCCATATCACCTTCCTTTCTTAGACAAAATTCTCATACTCTGTGGCCGGTTTGTAGTTTTTTCACTCAACCACCTGTTTTCCTTCTTTGTCAGTGCATGGAGGTCTTCCTCATGTAAGGGCTGCAGAATATTCTGTGGCTGAACTATAGTTATATAACCAGTCACCTTTAGATGGACATGTGAATAGCTTCCAGGTTCATGCTGTAACAAACAATTTTGTACAAAGTGAATAATGTACATGATTTTCTAAGTGCACAGGTACATCCTTAAGATAAATCCCCAGAAGCAGGGTTGCTAGAATAAATGCAATTATAATTTTTAAATGGATTCCCAAATTTCCCTCTGTAGGTATTATATTATTTCACTCCCCCTAGTAGTGAATGAAGAGTCCATATTTCCCACAAATTTGCCAGTCAGATGTTTAACTGAGCTTGGGTATTTGAGGATGTGATAGATGAAATATTGTAATTTAGTGTTACAATATATTGTTGCATTGCTTTTATTTGCATTGCCTTTTATTGTGATTACAACTGAAGTCTTTTCGTATGTTTCAGGATCATTTACATTTCCTTTTTTTCCCTGATTTATATTTTGCCCAGTTTTTTCTACTGGATTATTGGTCTGTGAGGTTTTTTTTTTTTATTTCTAGCAACTTATTACATACTATGGATATTAGCCCTTTGTCTGGAGAATGAGTTGCAACTAATTTCCTAGTATCTTATATGTCTTTCGATTTTGCCATATTTTTTTGTATTATTTTTACATAGTTGGTTGATCATTTTTTTGTTTGTTTGTTTTAGGTGGACACCTTAATTGTGAGTCATAGTTGGAAAGGCCTTCCCTACTCTAAATTTATAAAAGATTCTCCATATTTCTTTTTTTTTTAATGTTTTATTTATTTCCAGGAGAGAGAGAGAGAGACAGCGTGAGCAGGGGAGGGTCAGAGAGGGAGGGAGTCACAGACTCTGAAACAGGCTCCAGGCTCTGAGCTGGCAGTCAGCACAGAGCCCGATGCGGGGCTTGAACCCATGAACCGCGAGATCATGACCTGAGTGAAAGTCGGACGCTTAACCGACTAAGCCACCCAGGCGCCCCAAGATTCTCCATATTTCTTATAGTTCTTGTCTCATTTTAAATGTTGGACCCATTTGGAGTTTGCCCTGGTGTGCATGTGAACTGGGGATCCAGCTGCCGTCTTATTTTCTCTAGAAAGTTATCCAGTAGTAATACATTGAAGGGGAGCAGGTATTGCCACCCCAAAATATGTAACTTTGGTATGAGGATTATGTTGAGTTGAAGTCAGTCAAGACCCAGCCGACTTAAGAAAAACTTTTACTTCTCCCTTACCACCTAAAAGAATTTAGATAGGGGTTCTGGCCTTGAAAGAGAGCTATTACCAGAGATAGCTTTTTATTTGAATGACCTTTCTCTGTGGCAGGGCAAACATCAATTACCAAACATCTGCTCTTCTGATTGTTCCGTGAATTACCCTTTTCCGTTTTGAAGTCCCAGGCCCCAACCTGATTTCCCAGCTTAGGATGGCATATAAACCTTAACTGCCCAACTTGCCCTTGA